AACTGGAGAGTTGTTGATTAGTAGAGAGAGAGAGAGAGAGAGAGGCATATACGATCATTAGAGAGAGAGAGTTGATACTACGATCGGATGACAACGAGCAAGAATAGAAATAATCATGAAGATAATGAGAACGAGAAGAGAGAGAATACACCTTGTGGAATCCCAGGTCTGTCCGGATCTATATAACAATGCAGCAAAAAATTAGGCTCCGCCGTCCAACTTTTAAAAAAAATTGGACTGGTATCTTTCTTTTCTTTTTTTTCTTTTCTTTCGTCATTATTCCTATATTTTCACGAAAAAGTATTAAAGGAAAAAGTTTATATAAAGGAAAACGTTTATATAGTGATGAGGATCTAAATAATCAAATTTGAACCTATCTCAAAATTTTCACTAGAAGATGTTTGTTTTGATGCCCAAATATCCTCAAATTGATCATCTCGACATTAAGATGTATGGACATGAGAAAAAAATGGATTTCAAGTTTTGAAAACAGTGTATTTTGCTACGTATTTATTGACCGTCAATTTTCAAGTTTTCATATATCTATCTATCTACACTGTTTTTTAAGCTTTAAAATTTATAAATGAAAATAAAATTTAAGGCTATTACAAATATTTTCAGTATTGAAACCACAATTCTCGAAACTATTTGAAAGTAGGCTCTAATTTGATTGTTTAGAGCCTAGGCTCTATACAAACTGCACCCTTATATAAAAGGTTGTTTTGAGATTGAAAAACCATCTAATTGGTCATCTCATATATATATGAATATAAAAAGAAAAAAAGGATTTCGAGTCCCAAAACTAGTGCATCTAGCAACGCAATATTTGGACGGTCCATTTTCAATATTTTTATATGTTTATAGATCTACTTGATTTCAATTATTTTTGAAGTTTTAAATTTTATAATTAGAGATGAAAATAGATTCTCCAACCATCCTAAAAAAAATTAACGACAAAATTATATTTATGATAAAATTTGGAGATACGCCTTAATTTGATTGTTTAAGGTTGCAACCTTAGGTAAACCACACTCTTTAGCTCTTGCAACTTCAAAATTTTTAAAAAGGTAAAAGTTTATATAAGTCGAGGCTCTAAACAATCAAATTAGAGCCTATCTCAAAAATTTCACTAAAGGATGTTGTTTTGATGCCCAAATATCATCAAATTGATCATCTCAACATCAAGATGGATGGACATGAGAAAAAAATGGATTTCCAAGTTTTGGAAATAGTGGATCTTGTAACGCATTTTTTTATTGTCAATTTTCAAGATTTTTTGTTCGATCTACACTATTTTTTAATCTTTAAGTTCTATAATTAAAGATGAAAATGTATTTTAAGGCTATTACAAAAACGTCCAGAATTGAAACCATATTTCTCGATACTATTTGAAGGAAGGTTCTAATTTGATTGTTTAGATCCAGGGCGCTATACAAATCACACCTTTTAAAAAATATCTCCAACATTTTATATCTTATGCCCCATCTTTTAGAAGCGACTTCAATTTTATTTTCAATTTAACTGAAAATTGTGTATCAATACTTTCCACTGTCATACGTCTATTAAAAATATAAGAGATCATCATCACCATTGTCACAACCTTTTCCTAAGTATTTGGGTTCGGCTATTTGAATCCTGGTATGCCATTATATTCTATTAGGGGTCATACCCTCATCGAAGTTACAAATCCCCATATATTTTCCTACTACTTTCAACTGTATTCTTTTGGGCCTACCCCTTGCTCGTTTTAAGCTTTCCACTTTAACTAAATCGTACATCCTAATAGATGTTGTACTCGATCTGTGTTGCACATGCCCAGCCTGTCTATGTTTATTTTATGTATCTTATCATCTATTGGAGCCACACCTAAGTTATCCCGAATATATTCATTTCGAATTATATCCATTATTGTCTCGTCACTCATCCATCTCAGCATTATCGTCTCCACTACACTAATCCTGTGAGTATATTGTTTCTTGACTGCCTAACATTCTGTCCCATAAAAAGCAACATTGATCATAAAAATTACAAGAGATGATTAAATAAAAATACAATAACCAAACATGTGTATAAATTCTAAGGGTATTTTAATTACATTGGCTATATTTTTATTTATGGGTTTTGCTAGGCTATACCACTTGGTGGTAGATTCCGTTTAAAAGTCCTCAACATTTGTTTACACTTAAATACTCTTGAATTGTAATAGAAAACTTTTCAAATAGAAGCATTTTTTGTCATTTAGAAGGGTATAATGGGTATTTATATAAGAAAATAGTTACATTCTATTAGCAGTTAAAAAACAATTAATACATGGGTGTCATGACCCCACCCCCAGACCCCTACCGTACTTGCCGGAGAGCAACAAAGTGCGAGACTGTGACTAGAGGTAGGTAATTCGTGGCTGGCGGCTGAGATTTGAGCTTGTCAATAAAAGGCTTATCTAGATAGTAGGTGTCTAATGGCGGTGACCATATAGTTGTTTTGCTTGAAGTATTGTATTTTATTGTTGGGCCTGTAGTACATTGGACATGATTGTAATAAAATTTGGAGCCTATATTTATAAATTGGTTTTAATTTGTCCAGTTCTTTGTACCTTTGTGCACGGGTTTTTATTTTCTTCCGTTGTTTGCTTTGATTCCATCATTGTAAAAGCGTTAGCGCACTCACACCAGGGTGGCATTCGTGGTCACATACTCTGTTGCCCTCCAGCTAGTACGGTAGGGGTCAGGGGTGGGGTCATAACAATGGGTGATGCCGCACATCATGTTGGTGATATCATTGTCCATTATTGTTAATAATGATTTTGTTTTTATTAGAAATTGCTACTTTACTTTTGATTAATTACTCCCCTAGACAAAAAGTTACTACAGATAAGGTTATCTAAGTGTCAAAAAATGTTGAGGACTTTAAGAGTATACACCACCGAGTGGTGTAGCCTAACAAAACCTTTTATTTATTTATAATTATCATTTTTGAAATTTCTACATATAACACTCAAAAGTTAGTGCATAATCCGATGTATAGAAAAGTACTAAAATTAAATATCAATACGTTCTCTAAAAAAGTGGGACAAAGAAAAATACAAAATACTTGGGATAATTTTTCAGTTCCAAATAGCATAAAGGATGTTTCTTTAAACCTCATTTCCTGGCTTATCAATTTTTTTTGTGTTTTGTAATTATAAATTTAGGTAGGTTCAGGCCTTTTAGATTTTTTATGCTTAATCACATGTTTGGTGCATTTATTTGGTCTCTTTAATTCCTTTGGTTGATTTGGAATTTTCTTCTATTTGGTTTCGCGGATACAAACAATACAACTAAAGACAAATGAGGTGGCCTCTATGTTTATAGAGTCCACGAAAAAGGATATTGTGTTTTTCTAGAGGTGCAAAACCCCAGGCTTTAAGACCAAAAGTTGGACCCGATTTTCTATGAGTCGCCTGATTCGTATTATTTTATTATTTATTAAAGCCATTTTTAAGCTATCTCGAATATATTCATTTTGAATTATATCTAATATTGTCTAGTCACTCATCCATCTCAACATTATCATCTCTACTACACTAATCTTGAGAGTATATTGTTTCTTGACCGTCTAACATTTTGTCCCATAAAAAACAACATTGATCATAAAAATTACAAGAGATGGTTAAATAAAAATACAATAACCAAACATGTGTATAAATTCTAAGGGTATTTTTATTTATGGGTTTTGCTAAGCTATACCACTTGGTGGTATATACCCTTTAAAAGTCCTCAACATTTGTTTACACTTAAATACACTTGAATTGTACTAGAAAACTTTTCAAGTAGAAGCATTTTTTGTCATTTAGAAGGGTATAATGGGTATTTATATAAAAAAATAGTTACATTCTATTAACAATTGCAAAACAATTAATACATGGGTGTCATGACTCCACCCCCTAACCCCTACCGTACTTGCCGGAGAGCAACAGAGTGCGGGACCGTGACTAGAGGTGGGTAATTCGTGGCTGGCAGCTGAATATTTGAGCTTGTCAATAAAGGGCTTATCCAGATAGTAGGTGTCTGATGGCGGTGACCATATAGTTGTTTTGTTTGAAGTCTTGTATTTTGTTGTAGTACCTTGGACATGATTGTAATAAAATTGGAGCCTATATTTATAAATT